TGAAGCTATCGGTACAATCCCCACCGAGGCACCTAAAAAGAAAGATTTAATTTTTGACATGCCTAAAAAAGATACCTCTATTTCTTATAATAATTTATGTTTAGACTCCCTCTTGTGCAACCAAGTTTGTGTTGAGAAAGTTGTTGTAAAAACATGCACACAAGAGGTCGCAATGAAGAATGAGAAACTCAAGCAAGAAGTGGCTCGCCTCACCAAGGACTTGACTCAAGTGAAAGGCAAGACGGAGCAAGCCCAACTTCATCAAGATAACACCGTCAAGGAAGTGAAGAAGCTTAATGAAGAACAAACCGTGGTTTGCTACGTATGCCACAAGGAAGGCCACGAGTCCTATGAGTGCAAGGTGAAGAATTAGGGAGAAGAAAAGAAGAAAGAGAAAAACAAAACGGAAACAAGCAAGCTCTCCAACACCTATACCAACAAGGTGGACAAAAAGGCCTCCACAACTTATCTCTTGAAGAAGAAGAAAAATGACAAGATGGTGGCCATGAAGGTGAACAAGCAAACCAATAATGAGGCCAAACGCATTTGGGTGCCAATGGAGATTATTTTCAACATGAAGAGCACCAAGAAGGTTTGGATCCCGAAAGGGAAGTGAGAAGTCTGATGAACTTCAGGGAAATTGGAGACTTGGCAAAGTATGGGTGCATTTCATGGGGTGCATCATTATGAACAAGGTAATTGCCTAGTGGGTTAGTGAATACTATGGACCCAAATTCTTCTTCTCATGTTAGATAACTAGATTTAAATTCTTACAATTTCAATTAGCATCTAGTTCCTTTTCATGCCTAGGTTTGTATTTGCATGTTTAATCTTTTGTCTTGCATACACTAGGTATATCTTATGGTAGACTTGCTCGGTTTCACTTTTAACCTTTGGAGCAAACTTACATGGTTTAAATTGTTTAGGAGCACGACACATAGCTTGTTTTATAAGTGTTCATCTAATATGTGCCAAAGTTCAAAATTGTAGATAATTTCTCCCGAATATCACTTTCGAAAATGATTCTCACATTCATGTGATGTCATCTTTCAAGTTTCAAGTGGTATTTTTATTCTAAAATTAATGTGCATGTCTCCACAAGTATTCCATACTTGTGTGCACAAATTTAGGGAGAGGTTACTCTATATGTTGGATGCTTTGAGACTAACACCTTTTCAAACTTATCATGTATGTAGTAGTCTCATTGCAAGGAAAATAGAGTCCCCGGAGTTAAGCATCATACTTCAAATATCCACCACCTATTGCAAGTAGTATAAATCAAATTGGTTTCCACATGTGGTATTTCTAAATCAATATTATCATGTTGATTTTACTTTGGTATTTATATGATTTCTTCATGCATTATATAGATTAAACTTCCTTGAGCATTAATTTATCAATTATGCATAAACTACATTCTTCATCATATGTATGCATATATTTAGGGGGAGCTTAGTCTATGTAATGTGAGAGTCAAATTTTATGACCTATTCCACTCCACATACAAAGGATCACAAAGTTTGACCCTCCGTTGTGCTACTAATGTCTTCCTTTTCGGTGTTTGATTTTAAAGGGGGAGAATTTGTAGGACCAAAAGGAAGCCCGATCATAACAATTTACAAGTGGTAATGGTCCGAGAAAGGGAGGATAGTGGATAATAGAGTTAGGGGAGGCTTAAATCCATAATGTCACATGGGGAGATTTGCAATGGCAAGATAAGTTTCCAAAGATGTTTACATGTGGTATCTTTTAGCATCATATAACCTTGCTCTTTGCATTGCATCCTAGCAAGTAGTTAGTTTTTTAAATTCCAAAATATTTATTATTTACTTACTTTGGTCATGTTGTCATCAATCACCAAAAGGGGGAGATTGTAAGGAAAATGGACCCTAGGCCCATTTACTTTGGATTTTGGTGTTTGATGATCACTACAACCAAATTGGACTAATGAATTTACAAGTAATTGTTTTATAGTTCAATAGGGTGCAAGACATGACTTGGACGAAGGCGACATGATGATCCCACGATCAACACCATAAGCAAGACCCTAGAAGCACAAAGAGAAGACCCAAGATATCAAATATAGTGTCGAATACCATAAAAAGGGGGACCCTAAGCAAGAACCGAAAAGATTGCTTAGACCTTGCAAATATCAAAGCCAAAGGACAACCACGAGGTCTCGGCTAATTCTCCGATTCGCCTGAGGCCCGCGCCGCAAAGGCCTCGGACGAATGGCCAACTCTCCGCCTCACCGAGGCCCTCTCACCGAGGCCCCGCCCCGCAAGGCCTCGGACGGGTTACCGATTCTTCGATTCGCCCGAGGCCCCGCGCATAAAGCCTCAGATGAGGTGCCGATTCTCCGACTCGCTCGAGGTCGGCTCGGCAACAACCTCGTCGCCTCCGTCTCGACCGACTTCTCTGACAAAACGTCATGTCCAATTAACGCGTCCAACCACTCCCGCAACGTCAGCCGCACGTCGGCGCAAAGACAAAGAGTGGGTCGACGGATGGGGAGACAGGATCGAGCAGGGTTTACCGCCCATGTGCTCAAAGCATTGCTCCCATAATCGGGCGCCAGATCTTGCCTTTGTGCTACCTAATTCTTGCTCCAGGAATAGCGCGGCGTGGGGAGTGAAATTCGGGTCACTATAGCCTCGGAATCAGTGTATAGGACCAACGCTCCCTCCAAGCCTCGGCAATCCACTTCAGGGCCTCGGCAGCCTCGGGATTCGCGCCGCCGAGCCCCCCACACGTGGCTCGACCTCGGCACCAACTAAGCCTCGGCTCTTTACACTATCAACGCACAGCGACCGGCATGTAGTCGGTCATGCCCTGCGCCAAGCTATCACTGGAGCTCCCACGTCGCACAAGATCGGGTGTGACCGGCGCACGTTGCTCCAGTGCATCAAGGACAAGACCGCTTCGTTGACCATGCCGCCACAGTGATAAGCTATAGGACTCAGGCATGCCACCTCCGCTCACAAGACGCTGCATAGCAAATACATGTATCACCCCTGTCCCCCTTCAACTATAAAAGGAGGGACCGGGGCCGTTTCTAGGGACAGGAAGGTAGACGAACACTCACGTAGGCTCACGTAGATTCAGACACACGCTCCCCCGCTACTTGAGAGCAACGTCTCAAGCAGCCCGCACCGCTCCACGCAGAGACCTAGGACTAGCTCTCTCTCTCGCCCAACTTGTAACCCCCTACTACAAGCACTTTGGTGCAAGAAATACAAGATCGATCTCCCAGACTGGACGTAGAGCACCGATTGCCTGAACCAGTATAAACCTTGTGTCTCTTTGCATCACCTTCCGGGATTAGGGGCACGTAGTTCAAATTCACTAGTTGGTTGAGGACCCCCCGGTCCAAAACACCGACACATAGTCCAAGCACGAAGATAGGAAACAAGCCGGACGCAAGATCGTGAAGAAACGAGCTTCACAAAGATGACCGGACGCGGCCCTTATAGCGACCGGACACGTCCGATCAAGATGCTCGGCAACAGCATGCGTCAGTAGCAGCGACTGGACGCTGAGGACTAAAAGTGATCGAACGCGACGATGGCATTGTTTATTATCTCGGCAATACATTCAGCACTGACCGGACGCTAGTAGATAATCGACCGGACGCAGGAACTACGGCGTCTGATCGAGTCCAGAGAGGTTCTAGAACGGCGACAGCGCGACCGGACACGTCTGATCAACAGTGATCGGACTCGATAGTGCGTCCGATCAACGCGCGCGCTCTAACGGTCGGGACGATTGGACGCGTCCGATCAGGACGACAACAGCGTTCGGCCAGTAGCAGAAAGCTAGGTTTCGCCCCAATGGTTATTTTCTCCACGGGGCTTATAAATAGACCCACCAACCGGCCATTTGAGAAGTGGAGAGCTGAGAAAACATACCAAAGGTGTTGATACACTATTTTAGTGATCTTCACTTGCATAGTGTTTAGTGATTCATTCGGTGATTAACGTAGGTGCTTTGTGAAGTGTTTAGTTTGATTAGACCACCGCTTATGTGCTTGCTCTAGGTTTAGGCCTAGTGTTTAGAGATGATTACACACCTCTTACCACTCGGTGCTTGCGCGCACCATTGTTGTACATCGGAGGGCTTGTAGTCTTGCGAGATCACACCAACCGCGTTTATGGTGTGGCCGCCACCGTTTACCAAAGGGAACAAGGCCCGCGCGTGGTTCGGCCGGAAGCTTGATAGTGAAGACGACGGGGAGCTTCTGGGAGAGGCTTGTCGGAAGGCACGTCGGAGACCTACTTGTGTGTGGGGAAGACCCGAGGCTATCCATGGAGTTATCCGATCGGGAGCTTGGTCCTTGCGAGGAGGTCCAACGAGGACTAGGGGGAAGCTTGCGTGCTTCTCAATACCTCGGTAAAAATACCGGAGTCGTCGACTGGAGTTTGCATATCTCTACCTTACTCTTTAGTTTCCGCATTTACATTGTTTCCATAACTCCTTTTGCGGTAGAGATAGCAACACACTAGTAAAATCGTAGTTACACATTTAGATAGTTTATCTTTTTACATATGTTTTGTTAAGGTTAGAAAAAGATGCCATAGTTTAGAGTTAAAGTTTTAAGTTGTCTTAATTCACCTTTCTCTTAGGCGTCATGGTCCTTTCAAAATCTACGCTTGAGTTTATGCAACTAGATGCTATAATTACTGTGCAACTCAAACAAATGTGCAAACTACTCTAATTAATGAAGAGTAGTATGATCTTTTCTCTATCATACAAATTTTTTAATGAATCTATTTACTCGGGGACAGATAGAGCAGTAATTCTTACCCACCAACAGGTACCATATACTTCGCATAGATGTCGAGCCTGTTCAGAGTTAGTTCTTTATCAAGCATGAATCTTTTCAGCTTTTTATTGGTGGCCCCCGACTCCCAAGAGGCATGAGTGCATGACCGCAAGAGGGTGCAACACGGGGGATTTTTTTTTTAGCCAAATCAAGGTGTGAGTGCAGACGTGCAGTGGAGATGGGAGACGAGAGCAACGAGCGGGAGGCGACTCTGCTCCAAAGGTTCCCGTGGCAGCTGTGCTCCAACACGGCATGGCGGGCGCACGCCGGGGTTGTCCTCGTCCAGCTCGCCTTCAGCGGCTACCACGTCCTCACCAAGGCCGTCCTGAACGCGGGCATGAACCAGGTCGTCTTCTGCGTCTACCGCGACCTCGTCGCGCTCGCCATCCTCGCCCCCGTCGCCTTCCTCCGCGAGAGGTACGGTGTGCACCACGCGTGGCGGCGGCGCCGCGCTCATCGCCTGTGCTGCTGGTCTCGCTCGATCGCTTCAATTCATTTCCTCCGTTGTTGCAGAAGGGTGAGGCCTCCGGTGACCCCTCAGCTCCTCGCATGCTTCGCTCTTCTTGGCTTTACTGGGTACGAATTCCGATCCTCTGCTGATGCTGCTGATGGAACAACTAGCCTCTACGTACAAGCGCCGACACTGATCTTCTTGTGCAGGCTCTTCGTGAACCCGCTCCTCTTCCTCGTCGGCCTCCGCTACACCAACGCTTCTTACGCCGCGGCGTTCGAGCCCTCGGTGCCAGTGTTCGCGTTTCTCTTGGCTGTGATTGCCGGGTAATCATCAGATGCACATGCATGCGCAGCTCCAATAGTTTCACTGGCAGTTTCATCAGGAGACGTGACCAAATTGAGTGTTCATTCGGAAAGCAAGGTCAGCTACATTATTCTGAATAAGACTCTAATTAAAACTCTTTTCAGCGTTGAAGTGATCAACATCTTCAGCAAGGACGGCATCCTCAAAGTCATGGGAACAGTCGTATGCGTCTCCGGTGCCCTTCTGATGGCTCTGTACAGAGGTCCATCCTTGATTAGCCTCCTGGGAGGCGCCACTGCATCAGCAAGTGAAAATGTCAACACCATTATTCCTGCTAAATGGCTGACATCTACCGTGCTCGAGCGTGGTGTAGAGACATGGTTTCTTGGTGCCTTGTGCCTTATAGGACACTGTTTCTTGGTGGGTGCTTATCTAGTCATACAGGTAATGGAAAGTTTGGAGCTTATATCTATGCTTGATTTTTTTTAATGAGAACTACGGAGGGGAGAGCTTCCCCGCCTGGCTTATATATATTAAAGAAGCGAAAACATTTAGTTACAACACTGAGCGATGACGACCGCTCGGATTTGGGGTTACACAAGAGATATCTATGCTTGATTGATCCTGCTTGTGGTTTTAATTAATATTTATTGACCGTACCAGACCACCTTTAATTTTCTGTTGTCTTATTAGTTCTCACCCAATGTTTGTGCTCATGATTGATGCAAATTAGCACCTTTTTTTTTTGAATCAATTATAACCTTTTTCTGCCGTGTTGCAGGTTTCTGTGATTAAAAGGTATCCTGCAAGCTTATCCTTGACGGCTTATTCCTATTTTTTTGCCACCATCTTTATGGTGTTCACTGGAGTAGTTGCAACCAGTGGGCTCCATGAGTGGTCACTGACAAAAACTGAGATCATAGCTGTTCTATACGCTGTAAGTATCTCTATCTAGAAGCCTTTCTGCTTAGACCACATCACTTGCATAGCAATGATGCTAAGATTCAGGAAACTCTTTGTTAGTTATTCTAAACAAAATTCTTACTTGCTTGTACCTTCAGGGAATTGTTGCATCTTGTATGAGCTATGCACTCATGACATGGGCAAACAAAATTCTTGGACCTTCGTTGGTTGCCCTTTATAATCCACTCCAACCAGCTTTTTCTACCGTACTCTCAACTATTTTTCTTGGTGCCCCAGTTGACGCCGGAAGGTTTGATTCCACACACTGCCCAATAATTATGCCAAATGTGATGTTTGAACATTGTTAATCACTCTATCCTAAAATATAAGGTATAGACACATCCAAATTTTCTAATTATAAGGTATTCCCGATGAGTTAACTTACGAAAGGCACCAATCACATGTGTATTAACCTTTAATGTGTACCACCAGGTTCAAAATATAGTAAGCAAAAGATATTACGACTTTTAAAAGAGGGTTACATGCATCTTTTTCTCTACACTATAACATATACTAAAATTCCTACTGTACCTTATATTTCAGGATAGAGGGATCATTGGATTATTCGTCAAATCTTGGACCTTTTGAACTAGTAGTTTTTATTAAATGTTGACTTATATTCTTGCAAGCCAAAAAAAAAACATTGAGGTACTTGGTCAAATATGAAACTGGTGAACTTTTTACAGATATATATAGCTATTGATATTCCTTTATTCTCTCCTTATAAACTCAACGAAGTTATGTAACTCATCATAGAGAAAACAACTTATGTAGCAAAGTAGTATTGATCCTAACCTTTTGTACACGCTTGTATTCAACTGCTTTCAGCATTATTGGGGGATTCTTCATAATTGCTGGCCTATATCTAGTTACATGGGCTCGCTACAATGAAGCGCAGCAAGCAACGATGGATGATTATTTGGACCCTCTTCTTGTGTGTCATCCAAGAATCACTAAGACACAAGAAAGTTCTTTCATGGATCCTTAAATATTAGGGGATCGAATAGTTATCTCAATTGTTTTCTCCAAGACATCACTGTAAGCAACATGTATGGATTCTTTTATATATACAAGATTGATTCTTCTAAACTAAGCCGGTCAAACCATTGACAATTTGACCTTTGAAGATTAATCTGTGTGGTTCCCCATAGAAAATATGCACATAATTGTATTGGGCTTGGAACATAAATCGGTAACATGATAGCAAGTGCATGTGTATCATCCTATAAATTTAGGTGTTTCGTTTGTGCGTAAAAAAATCTTAAATTTCCAAAACCTTTTCTTGATGCTTTGAATCAAATAGATTTAAGGTCAAATTAAGTCAAGACCTCAACCTCTCTCCTAAATTCTTAAATTAATTTTAAAATAACATATGTGTTGCATATAAATGCGTGGTTGTATGAAGTGATTTGGATTTACATCGTCTTAATTGAATTCTTTTTGGAGTTTAATTTGAACCAAGATTCAAATTCAACTTATAAAAACTATTTGAATAAATGGTTTAACTTCTTCCTAACTCATAACCTATCTCATGCCTAAACAAGCCCAACAACATAGGCAACATATCTTTCTCTACCACTCTTTTCCTCTATCTTCTGGTCCAACCCACCTAGCCAATGTGGGATGAGGCCGAACCAAAGCAGCCATGCCAACCCGCTAACATCCTGCTCCTAGGCAGCTAACAAGTGAGACTCAATGGTCAGACACTCTTCCTGTCCAGGCACACACATAATCAAGGGTGCACCACTGTCAGCCTAGCATCCAACAACATTTCTTCATCCCCTTCTCCACGCCACCTATAAACGATCATTTGGAACTTTGGAAATAAGGGCTATCCATGTCATCAATCATCAAGGTATTTCGAGCCCCAAACATCTGAATTCAGGACTAATCCTATGGTATGCCATCAATTATTAAGGTATTTCAAGCCCCAAACATCTGAATTCAGGACTGATCTGATGGTACATATATATGCCCACCTTTTTCCTTATTTGTCATCCTTTCTTCTCCGTAGATTGTTGTTATTCTAACCACTCTCATTTTAACACCATTGCCTTGACCTTACACCTTAGCCTACCTCGCCTAGAAGTGCTTCTCATATCAGTTCATCAATTGTCTCTAACGTCAAACCATCTTTCCTCTTTTAGGGCTTGTTTGTATTAGTTGTAGTTTTTTAGCATTTGGCTCAAAAGCTGGCTTTTCTAGCTGTTAGCTCTTTGCTATTGTCTTTTATAATTAATATTTAACTTCTCATCACAACAAAAGCCAGAAAAGCTCTTCATAACACACATTTTAATTTCTAGCTCATTTTCTCATAAGCCATTTTTCCAGAGCTTCGGTTTTCCGGCTGGTAAAAGCCAGCCGAAAGCTGAGACAAATAAGCCCTTAGCCCACAATAACCCCATATCCACCTAACCTCCAAATCCCTAACCCTAGCATGGTAAAAAAAAGGCCCTCCCAAAAGTGTAACATGTAAGTAGTTAGAATAAGAGGAGATAGGACTGATTTGAGAATTCGGGCTTATTGTTACACACTAACTTTATGTTCTTTATAATTTATGAGTAGAGATTTTGGTGAAAAAATATCCTCCAACGGTCTCTTTATTGATCATCCTTCTGTTTTGGATTTCTCGCTAGCTATAGAAAAAAAATGTTGGAGGGCACGGAAATATAGAAAATGAATTTTATTCAAATAACTGTCCAAATGTAATTTAGTGAGTAAATTTTAGAAAGATTCTTGGAGATGTTCAACTCTTTATATAAACCCTACCTGTGGCAGGATTTCCGGTTTGGGACTCCGTTGCGTGTGGCCAGATGTTGCTATCCTGGGCTCTGGGAGCACTGACGAGTGACGCCCGCCGCTGTGCCTGTTGCGTGTCAAGTCCCAACTACCGAAAGCCACCGGAGTCCGCAAGGCAAGCAGGATTTCCGCTTTGGGACTCCGTTGCGTGTGGCCAGATGTTGCTATCCTGGGCTCTGGGAGCACTGACGATGCCGCCCGCCACTGTGCCTGTTGCGTGTCAAGTCCCAACTCCCGAAAGCCACCGGAGTCCGCAAGGCGACATTTTGTGTTTTGTTTTCGTGATGAAGAATCCCATTTTCAAGCAAACAAAGCAGCGTACTCATCCCAGTAGTAGCACGTGAGAGCAGTGGAGACGAGAGTGGAGGGCGATGGGCGGAGACCGGAGAGCGGTGGCGCTCCAGCGACACTCGTGGCCATGGAGCGTGAGCGAGCGGTGGCGGGCGCACGCCGGGATGGTCCTCGTCATGCTCGCCTACAGCGGCTACCACGTCCTCACCAAGTCCGTCCTCAACGTCGGCATGAACCAGGTCGTCTTCTGCGTCTACCGCGACCTCCTCGCGCTCCTCGTCCTCGCCCCCGTCGCCTTCCTCCGCGAGAGGTGCACTGCCCCTGCCCCTCAATTAATTTCCTTTCCTTCTTGGATCTTGCTGCAAGCAAAGCAAGGGGAAAATCACATCTTCTCCTGCCCTTTGGTCTTTATCCGTTGTTGCAGAAGGGTGAGGCCTCCGGTGACCCCTCAGCTCCTCGCATCCTTCGCTCTTCTTGGCTTCACTGGGTACTAATAATCCCTCTGCTAAAGGAACATCTATAGCGAAGAGTCTGCACAAGTCTTCCATCGGTGATACTGATCCTCTATCCTTGATTGAATTTATACTGTATTTATATATGCAGGCTGTATGGGAACCCGCTCCTCTTCCTCGTCGGCCTCCAGTACACGAACGCTTCCTACGCCGCGGCTTTCCAGCCCTCCATACCAGTACTCACATTTCTCTTGGCTGCGATTGCCGGGTAACACTGTCATAACACTCAATGTCATCAGAAATTCAGGATGTCTTACTTCACTTGTCACCCCTGGACCCACACTTCAGGGAGCCAGTCCTGAATCGCCACCAATTTGGGTGTAAATACTGAATGAGACTCACTTTTACAGTGTTGAAGCCATCAACATCTTCACCAAAGACGGCATCCTCAAAGTCATCGGCACGGTTGTATGCGTCTCCGGCGCCATTCTGATGGCTCTGTACCGAGGTCCATCCTTGATTGGCCTTACTAGAAGCAATAGCATGCCCAACGCATGGACGAGCACTCCTTATCCTGCCCCCAACTGGTTGGCATCAGCCTTGCTCGAGTATGGTGTAGAAACATGGCATCTTGGTGTCCTCTGCCTTATAGGAAACTGCCTCTTGGTGGCTGTTTATCTAGTCATACAGGTAATGCAACTTTTAGAGCTTGCAATTAATCCTGAATTCCTGCTTCTGGGTTTAATATTTATTGACCACATCCTTTCCTTGTGTGTGTGTGTGTTCTTGTCAGCAACAAGATAGGCATAGGTCTTTACTTTTATGTTCATTGCTGATACAGATTTAGTGTGTTTTTCTCTGCCCTGACTATTACAGGCTCCAGTGATGATAAAATATCCTGCAAGCTTATCCGTGACAGCTTGTTCCTATTTTTTTGCTACAATATTTATGGTGTTAACTGGAGTATCTGCAACTAATGGGCTACACGAGTGGGTGCTGACAAAAACTGAGATCATAGCTGTTCTGTATGCTGTGAGTAACTCCCGTTATGCTTAGACTGCGCACATCACTTGCATGCATAACAGTGATACTAAGATTTCCTCTCCATGGTTAGTTGTCTGACCAAGATTCTTGCTTGCACCGTCAGGGAATTGTTGCGTCTTGTTTGAGCTACTCAATCATGACATGGGCAAACAAAGTTCTTGGACCTTCTCTAGTTGCCCTCTACAATCCACTCCAACCAGCTTTTTCCACCGCCCTCTCAACTATTTTTCTTGGTGACCCAATTTACATCGGAAGGTTTGGTTTCACACACTGCCCAATAATTATGCCAAATGTGCTATTTGAACATTGTTATTGGATTATTCCCCAAATCTTGGACCTTTTGAACTCGTAGCTCTGGAGTTGTGTTTTTATTAGATGTTGCATGATACTCTTTCAAGTCAAATAACAACATTTGCGGTGCTTTGCGGAACGTGAAAGTGGTCACACAGACAGAGTTCTTTTTGAAACCTCAATGAATTTATGTAATTGGTAAAAAAAAAAACTTATGTAGGAAACTAGCATCGATTCTTTTTGAAACGAAGTAGCATTAATTCTGACCCTGTGTACACTTGTATTCAAATCCTTTCATTTCAGCATTATTGGGGGAGTTTCCATAATTGTTGGTCTATATCTGGTTATCTGGGCTCGCTACAATGAAGAGCGACGAGCACCTATGGATGGTTATTTGGACCCTCTTATTGTGGGTAATCCAAGAATCCCCAAGACACAAGAAAGTTCCTTCATATAGATCCTTAAATGATCAGTGAATTAAATGGTTGTCTCGGATTCTCCAAGATGTTAGAAGTTGTAACACCCTAAAATTTGCAATCTTTTAAAATAGTAAATTTGATTTATTTATGTTATATTGTGTGCATTCAAATATAGGAAATTAATAATTTTTGTGGAATTAAAATCAATCATAAGTATAGCAACATGTATGTGCATTCATGCCGTTGCATATTATTTTGTGAATGTTTGGTATTGATCAAAATTTCAAAGAGAATTAGAATTTGAATCGAATTGGTTTTGAAAATATGTTTTAGGAAATAGAAAAGGAGTTTTTTTCACCCTTCTCTGTCATAACCGACAGTCAATAGTCCTCTCCTCCTGGCCCATTCAGGATGGCCCGCTTTCTTTCCCACTTGTCACCCCTGGACCCACAAGCCTGGACCCAGCCCAGGGCCAACCATTGTCTGAATCGCCACCAATTTGGGTGACCCATACTGAAACCTCCCGCTTCGCCTCATAGTCAAGTCATTGAAGCCATCAACCTGACGAGGCGTCTTCACCAAAATGGACCGTGAACCCCCCCCCAGCAAAGTCATCGGCACGGTTGCTAGAAACCGCCGCATCGCGGATCCGCCATCGCCATTCTGATGGCTCTGTCTCCGAGCCGCCCGTCTCCATTTCTCCTTGAGCTTCACCGTGATCCTTATCTATCTCCCGAGCATCTTATTTCTCGTTTTTGGCTTCTTGAGCCTTGACGAGCACTCCCGCCGGCCATGCCCCCCAACTGGTTGGCATCAGCCTTGCTGGCGCGACCCCTACCTTCCCAAGGTGTAGAAACATGGTTTCCGTTTGGTGAACCCTGCCTTAACCGAGCTCAAAGATTTCGCCGCTGGCCGCACGGTGACTTGGTGGCTGTTTATCTATCCAACCGCCCATCGCGAGATCAACGGCCAGATTAACCCTTCAAGGGTAATTTTGTTAAAGAGTCCTGCAATTAAGTCCTAACCCGCAGCCCAAAGCGTATTTCCCGAATAATCCCGTTTGGAAATTGACTCACGGCTTCCTCAAAAATACGTTTTCGTGAATTACGTGTTGCCATTTGAACAGCAACTTATAAATTGTCGCATAGCTCTTTGATCCATTCAAATCGCGTTATGTTCATTTCATAAGATACATATTTAGAGCTACTGTTTTTCAAGTTTGGAACTTTTTATTTCATGATTAGATTTAATTAAATATATGGCTATAGGAAAACCCGTTTAAATCATAACTTTCAGCTTGTTTAGCTCCGATTTTTTGAACTTCAATTGATGATATGGTGTTAGAATATGTTTACAAATATTTTATCTTGTTTTCAATACTGTTGGTGTACTGATCTAATGATAGGAATGTTTGCTTTGCATGAATGCTTTTGAATGTTGTATGTTCTGTGTTGGTGCGTTCGCAGTAAAACGTTGGAGACCAAGAACTCTTCGACGACCAAAGGACTGTGCAACCAAGGCAAGTATAGCATAGGATCTACCTTGATGCCTATTCACCTTTATTAATTATTTATTTGCATGTGTCTAATTTTGATACCCGTAAGGACATCCTAGTGATTGATTATCCTTGTCTCCTATGGGTTATATGCATATTAGTTTGCTAGTGCTCAATATAAATGAACATGATCTACATAATGAATGATGGTTCTATGGGCAATGAGAAGGTAAAGTTGTTTTTAAACAATCTCTTATAGCCCTCTACAAATGACTTTCATCATGATGCTCTTTCCTCCATAAGCCCTTATCTCAAACTAAAAATTTCTTGGTGACCCAATTTACAACGGAAGGTCATATGGCTCACACACTGCTCAAAATAGGACCTTTTCTAGCTTGTTAGAGGTTACCTTTATGGCTAAAGGGGCTTGCCACGTTGGATATAGGTGTGCCCTATTGGATGGATATTGCCATAGGAAATTTCTTGGACCTTTTGAACTAGCGTAACTCTGTTAGAGTTGAAATGGCTTTTAGTGTATTAGACCTTGCATGATATGGGAGTAATTAACCCAATATGGGGATCAAATAACAACAATGTGCACCACCTCTGCGGAACGTAACAAAGCTGGTATAACACAGACAGAGTTCTTTTTGAAACCTCAATGAATAGATGGCTACTTATAATGTTGTTTATAAAGATGATTATGATGATGTCACAACTCAATTGGATCGATTCTGATCACGTTTTAAATGAAGCTAAGCATAACTTGATAATAGTTGATGATAAAATCTTGACTTACTAAAAGTGCTAACTTTCATTTCAACCTTTTTGAGCTTCATAACCCCATGTTATCTTGTTGAGTACTATATTACGCTTGTTTACTTTCTATATTTGGATAAAAATCCCGGATGGGTAACAGATGACAACGGATCGAGGAGTTTCCTATGGATTATTAGGCTTGTGGTCAACCCTCCCCTGTGATGGAGTTCCACGAGAGAGTTATCTTTTATCTTCCAGACACAAGACAATGTGATGCTATTATTATGTATAGATATACCTGATGATACTTTTTTATAATTTATCAATTAGTGTGTGTGAATCCTAACATGAGTTTAGTGCTCGGATTTATCCTTAAAATTAGGTGTGAGAAGTAGCATGCATAGATTGCCTTGAAAGATATACTTTTATGATCTCTTATGTTTGTTAAACTTTACATGTATATTCTAATAAAGAAGTGGCCAAACATTCACATTGGAGAATTTGTCATGTCCGTCAAGTACTTTAATTTTTAGCTGAGAGGATATACAGAGGGTGCTTGGATTCACCTACCTGAAGAGTCCAGGGTCATCTATAATTTGTTCTACCTTCTTTTAATGAAATATGTGCCTAGGCACTGTTGCGAAAAAATAGTTGAGGAGCATTTCCTTAAATGAATCGAACTTTAGTGACCTCCTAAACAAGCATCTTGTTTCCCTTCTACACCAACAGATGATTTAAAGCAAAGAGGCACTATTAAATAAGTGAAATTTTACGGTGCTTGGAAATAATAAGAGCCATCCATCAGTCATGATCGAAGGGTTACAAGAGGTATCTCTTGGGAAGAACTTTAGTTGTGGACCAGAACTAAAATTATGTGGGCCTAGAACCCATTGAAAAAATAGGGAATTTGGTGTTTCTACCCTTATTTCTTAGCGCAATGGTGATTTTACCCCTCATTTTTAACTTTGTGATTTTACCCTCCATATATTCAAACGAAGCTCCCGTCTACCACTCATTCGTAACACCGTCTAAAATTGTTGGATTAACTGGTTAAAAAAAGAAAAAAGAAAAGGCACCTACACAAAAAGACCATGGTACCCCTCATTCCCTATCTCCTTTGTCACGGCCTCTCGAATCATCCTCGAAGGGAGTTGCGACTCGTGGCTCGACGCCCGGACTCGCCCTAGGGTTTCACTACCCTGCGGCGCGGCAGGCGGCGGCACGACAAGTGGCGGCGCCGCTCCTCCTCCCTCCGGCACGCTCCCCCCTTGGCTCGTCTCCTCCTCCCTCCGGCCTGCTTCCCCCGGCTCGTCTCGTCCTCCCCGGCGGAGTGGCTATCGGTTGGGAGCGCTGCGCGGGCTCCGCCCAGCCCACTACCCCCGGCTCGCGCCCTGGTGGTGCGGCTGGGGGTCTCGCTCAGCCCCGCCCCGCAGGCTGGAGCCCGCAATAGCAGCATCTTGTCCGACATCTCTAGTCAGGCACCAAGGAAGAGCCGGCCACCATGGAAGAGCCCAGGTATATTCAACAATTTTTGAGATGTGTGCTTCAATGCAGTAGAAAAATAGCCGCGATTAGTAGATGTGTTAACTCGTTTCTTCCTTGTTGTGATTTGTAGGCTAAATCACAGTAAATTAGAACTTGTTGTTAGAGTGCGCTCTTTTTTAGCTTGTCAGACAGTGGTTCAAAAACATGGTGGCAAGGTAGAACTTTAGCCAACCAAAGTTGTTGACACAAATAGCTTTGGGCTGCTGCAGCTAGTTGATTTCATTGCTTAGTATTGCTTGTGGGGTTCTAAACAGTACATTACCTTATGGCGTGATTTGGAGAATGATTCTATGGAAATTAAATCTGATGAAAATTTGTTAGAGTGGTTTCTAATTAATGTAGAGGATGAATTATTATGTATCAATACTCAGATAAATGATTTTGAGGGGCCACTGCAATTTTCTCCAACAAAGAGAAGGTTTCACCCTACTGTGAGAGCTAGTGTGCTCCTAATTGAGGAAGACACCAGTGAGAGAGCCATAAATGAGATAGCCACAAATGAAATAGCAACAAACAAAACAGCCACAACCCCATCAAAAAAAGACAATATCCACACAAAAAAAAAAGAGCTGCCACCAAAGAAAGTGCTTCTAAGGCTATTGATGCAAAGGTACTATGTGATAGCAGCTATGACACTGATTTGGCTGCATCATCTGACTCTGACACTGAATTTGATCCTGATGGTGAGATTGTTGATGAGGAAGATGAGTATGACCCTCCCATATGACTCGGAATGCAGTGAACTAGGCCATACAGCCAAGACTTGCCAAGGAGGTCCTACAACTAGTCAAAAGAGGAGGCAGTCAACACCACAAGATGGATCAAGACAAGGAATCAATGACCCAATGTGAGTCATACATGTATTGCTGTCCAATTCCATTTATTTAGCCCAATTATTCATATTTACTTGTACTAACAATTCTTCGAACGAACATTTAGTGCAAGTACAAGTGCTAGTGCAAGTGATACTATAACTAGAAGGGAAAGGGGAAGGGGACGGGGAAGAGGAAGGGGTTCAGCAGAGGACAACAATGAGACAATGTATGTGATTCATGGCTGTTGTTCGTTACTATTTTTCTAGCAAATTTCAGCGTTGCCACCTATATTAACTTGCTTTTACTCTATTCTTGTTAAGTGCAAGTGGTACAGAAAGCGGAAGGGGAAGAGGAAGGGGAAGGAGAAGGGAAGAGGGTTAGGAGAGGCCAACAATGAGACAAAGTAAGACATAGCACATTTGCT